ATAAAACAATCCACATGAATGCAGCATATATCACCATGGGCATATATTTTTTAAAGTTACACACAAGCCCTTAGAGGAAAAATTTACATTATCATACTAATACAAGCTCAATATGCTCTAAGCAGAATCCCTCCTTAAAAAGTCATAGGCCAAAGATGTAACAAATGTAACATTGCAAACAAAATAAATGCACACACACACACACACACACACACACACACACACACACACACACACACACACACACACACCATACAGTATATGTATATAAATCCTGAGCAAGTATTTGCACTTTAAAATTGATATATCTTTATACATATGTATATGTATATGTATGTACCTATATATATATATATATATATATATAATACACAGTTGAAGTCAGAATTATTAGCCCCCCATTGAATTTTTCTATCTTTAAATATTTAATGATGTTCAAAGGTGCAGTAGGTGATTGTCTTCAGAAACACTTTTTGTTGTGCTGGTTAAAAGTCTCTTCACATTCCAATAGTACTGATTAAAGTAAATGATCTAAATGTATTTATATGTATGTTTATATTCTGGATAAGGCATACAACTAAAAAATGTTCATCCAATTAAATATTGTCGGACCGTCAAGTAACTCAATTAGGACAGATATCTCAAATTGTCTGTCAACAAATTTAAATCTGAATTTCTGCGCAGACTCTTTAAGCAGACAGATACATCACTCGCGCGCACACAAGTGATGCACACATCTACAGCTTCATCCTGCAAACTCTGCATCAACCTGAACTTCTTTCTGAAAGACCAATGTGGCCTTGTATGCATGAAAAGAAAGATTGTATCTGAAAGGGCTTCTGCCAAAAATGAAGAATTAAAACTTTTCTAAACCTTGAATCAATATCAGAATTACTTTTGCACGCTAGTGGGCAATGACATTATGCATTTCAAAACAACGAAAATCTGAAGGGTGACACAACGGCTGAAGCATTTCTTTTAGACAGGTATGTTTTAAAACTATTTTAGCCACACAAAGATTATGTACTGTAGAATGTGTTCTTGTTTATAAATGGATTTATATGTACAGAGGAGTTGTTCAGCCACTGAAAACGTCCAGCAAAAGTTTGGCTATTGTTCAAGTTAATGGAAAACCTTTTACAGCATCAATAATATAGTCGGTTAAATAGACCTGAGTATTGGTTTAGTTGTTCAAGTGTAAAAAGAGCTGAAAACAAGCGACAGGATATTTCTGTTTTTAACAGATCTAACCTTTATTCTGATCTAACTTTTATTTAGTTTAATAACAAAACGTAAGTAAATGTGCCCTTCTGCCAAACCAGCTTTACTGAGGTGAGGTTTGATTTATATTCACACATTTGTTCATTTTTGACCAGTAACAGCCGGTGATACAGTTTTGGAGATATATAATTCCTGCACCCTCTGGTCTGTCAACAACTACGCTTGATAAAGTGCGTGTCTCCATAGAGTTTTCTAACTGGTAAATGACATGATCTAGTGTTATATATAATCAGTGCGAGTTCACGTGTCCATGACTTAGGGAGGCGTACATGGGGACGGCAGCGGAGGGTCATAAAATTTCTAAGCTATTACGCTAATGCTAGCATACTGGCAGATCTCCTACTGCACCTTTAACAGAGCAAGGAAATTTTGACAGTATGTCTAATAATATTTTTTTTCTTATTTATTTTATTTTGGCTAGAATAAAAGCAGTTTTTAATTTTTTAAAAGCCATTTTGAGGTCAAAATTATTAGCCACTTTAGGCTATTTTTTTCGATAGTCTACAGAACAAACCATCATTATTCAATAACTTGCCTAATTACCCTAACCTGCCTAGTTAATCTGATTAACCTAGTTAAGTTTTTAAATGTCACTTTAAGCTGTATAGAAGTGTCTTGAAAAATATATAGTAAAATATTATTTACAGTCATCATGGCAAAGATAAAATAAGTCAGAAATGAGTTATTAAAACAACTAATTAGAAATGTGTTAAATAAATCTTCTCTTCGTTAAACAGAAATTAGAGAAAAAAAGGGGGGGCTAATAATTCAAGGGGGCTAATAATTTTGACTTCAACTGTATATCCATAAATAAAAGGGATGCTCTGATCGTTCGGTTGAAAATCGGTATTGTCCCGTAATCAAATTTGTATATATATATATATATATATATATATATATATGTATATATATATATGTATGTGTATATATATATATATATATATGTGTATGTGTGTGTGTGTGTTAGGCAGCAAGCTAACTAATCTAACCAGCCTTGAAGGACACAAATTTCAGTGTTTAACATAACATCAGTATGAAAGAATGTATTCCATTAAACTAAAACTGCTAGTAGGTGGCAGTAAATGTTTCAATCATTAACTTATTGATTCCTTATTGAATTATTTCAAATGGTTGAATCATTTGGATATTAATAATAAATTGTTGTTTTAAATGAATGACTGAATCATTTGTTAAAAACACAGATTCATTCATGCATTATTTCTCAAATATAACAGTACTAATTTATATTTAACGTGCATATAAAATGAAGACAGAAAAGATAAAAAAAGAAGAAAAAGTAATAATATAAAAAATATTTGTAAGTATCTAGCTAGCCACAATTACCCGTTTTATGGCATTACTAGAAAGGAATATTTGGAACCTTTATTTTTAATTGCAATAATAAAATATAAAGCATGAGATGAAACTGCCAAGAAAAATAATACAAGAAGAAAAAAAATAATCATTAAAGTGGTCAGAATGTCAGTCCAAACCCAATTTTTTGTGCATATCTGATATTTGTAAGCTGATCATACTTATCAAACTTGAACACCCAAAAAGAAAACAAAATTAAGCTAACTTTACAATGTTTGTGGTTTGAAATTCTACTTGAATTGCATTTCTAGAAATGTTTCAGTGTAATCACTTGGATATAGATAGCACTTATATTATATTTAAGCAGCAAAATGAATCAAGTTCTGCCACAGTAATTTAAAGGGGTAAATGTCAGTCAAGTTTACATTATTTTGTGCATTGGATTCCAATTTAATAAAAAATATTTTAAAAATTCGATTAATGTAATAATTTAGAAAAAAATGGCATGTTTTATTTTGTTTTAATTTTAGAGCTAGGGTTCTGCCATCTTGGAATGTTGCGGTGTCTGACATCACGGGGCTGGTGCAGTTCCCTTAGCTGAAAAGATACAGTGGAAGTAATGGACTAAACACGGAAAGCCTAATTTAACTCAATGCGTGAAGTTGTGGTTGTGGAGCTGGCGCAAATACAAACATCAGATGTGTGTCTAATATAAAAGAATAAATATTTATTATTTTTTTCTTTTTTTCGCTTTCAATTACCGATCAGTTGATGCGCTTTGGTCCACTATACGCTGCCTGACTGCCTGTCTGGGTTTTAACCATGCTAGTAACACTGAACACAGAGACTAACTTAACCCAATGCGTGAAGTTGTGGACATGCATCGTAGAGCTGGTTTAAATACAACAAATACAAGCATTTAAGAGTCTTCAGTTGTGTATTTTTTTTGTTAACACTGTTCATTTGATGCGCTGTGGTCTACTCTCTCACAATACTCCAGCGCTGCCTGACGAGGAGATTTCCATTTAGACTAATGCAGCAGTTAAAATGATACATAACTTCATGCTTTACTAAGTCATGACATTGTGGATTATGTCAACACATATTCCCTTTTCAAGTCGATCAAGTCGAACTCTCAATGTGTATGAAGGACAAAGAACTGCCATGTGAAAAAAGGCACCAATCGTAGTTTGGTTTGAATACGAGATGAGGTGAGGGCTGTAGTAGTGAAAAGTGAAAGTACCTGCCTCCATTATGTCAGCACCGGACCTGGTTGAAACCCAGACAGGCAGTTAGGCAGCGTAATACAGAGAGTTGACCAAAGCCAGTCAAATGATCCGTAATAAAAAAAAAAATAGACACACATCTAATGCTTGTATCTGCACCAGCTTCACGTCCACTACTTCACGCATTTAGTTAAACTAGGCTTTCCAGTCTCCGTGTTTAGTCCTTTACTTCCATTGTATCTGTTCAGCTGAGGGAACAAACCAATCCAGAACAAACCACTTTAACATGAAATGTTTTTTTTTTTTACTCAGCTCTGCTCTGTAATACAGTTTTAAAAAGAGACTAACGTGAGAGTAGGTGAAGGTAAATGTTTTTATGAAATTACTAAATCATTCAGTCAATTATTTCAAAAGTTTAATTAATTCAGAAATTATTATGGTCCATTAAATAGATTTTGGTTCAAAACACAGATAAAAATGCTTGAACATCGCTCTTATCAGTAATGTCATGCAGGTAGTGAAGTGATAACTTTTGCTAATTAAAATGTTTTGAGATCGAAATAAAAGTAAAAAAAATAAAAAATAATATAACTCATTGGATGAATTGAGGGCAGGATTTCCATCAAATAAATTTGTTTAGCACCAACTAAAGAAAAAACTATTTACACAACTAAATGCAATTGAGTTGGTCTAACATAATTTTATCAATTAAAAGTTTAAACACATTTGTATTTTATTTAACTTAAACTCAAAGGTCTCATAGTATAATGTATGTCTATTATATGTTGTACATTTCGAAGTATAAAAGTTTTATTTGAAGTTATCTTAAATTAACTAAAAGAGCCGTTTTAAGCATATTTCACAAGTTAAGTATACAGTTGATTGAGACTGATCTCTGAACTAATTTTAGGGCAGGTATTGCTCACTGAGCAAAGCAACAAACTGCATTTTGCTAATTAAGCTGCCAACACCCAAAGCATGGGTGCTTCTGCAAAGTGGTAATCTCGAAACTTTACAGTAAAATCTTCTAAATCTTCAAACTAAATTGAAGATTAAACTATAACAAGTCTTTCTGTTAACTTTAAACACCTAAGACTACTTTTATTGTCAACATTTCCCTCTCTTTATTCAATACCATGCAAAGCATGCTGGGAACTACACTGTAAAAAAATTCCCTGTAAAAAAACGGTAATCTACTGGCAGCTGTGGTTGCCATTATCATACTGTAAAAATATGGTGCCCTACCGTTTTTTAAATTACCAGCATGATACTGTTTTTGTTAGCAACAGTATTCTACTGTTGTGGAACTGTAAAAATACAGTGCCCTACCATTTTAAATTAACAGCATGATACTGTTTTGTAAGATACAGCATACCACTGTTATTCTAATGTAAAAATACAGTGCCCTACCTTTTTTACATTTTATCTACAGCATGCATCTGTTATTTAGAAGCATACAGCTGTTAAATTACAATCCATATTTAACCATATTATTTCAGATTAAAATGATTCAAAAAGAGAAATAAATCCAAGTTATATTTCACATTTTTTATTTTCAAACAACACAAAATAAAATCTGCATTGTGTTTGTGAAAACATTAAGCCAAAGAACAGGCAAAAATTGTAAGTTCTCCAGAAATGTTAAGATCATATTCAGCATTGTACAACAAGAAGCAACTTACTGAATGTCATAGAAAAAATTTATAAATAGCCACTTTACAATTTAGTCTTGGATATAAAATATAAAAATATATAGCCCCAAAATGAGCTTCAGCAAATAAAGAAAAAAAGGCCTCTGTGTTGCAAAAGTAGGGGGTTCAAGCTAGCTGCATTTTAAATAAAGTCCCATTCAAAGTCCATTAGTTTCTTTAAAAGGTTTGAAACCTTGGGGTTTACAGTCATGGTCTTCTTCTGAACTGTCTTGCCAGTTTTTTTTGACGTCACATTTCCTCTCACAGCCTTGGTTCCCCTCTCTGGATTTATGCCAGCAAAGCATCTGAATAATAAGAATAAAAGATTTTCTGTGAACAAGGTATTTAAAACTGTATGACTTACAAAAAGAAATAAACTATCTGCAAAAGTGATTTTCTGTTCTGAAAGAAAATTTTAGTGAAAAAGCACATGCATTTTTGCAGCACTAAAATGGTTTTCCCTGAAAAAAGGTTATTATTATATGATGAAGATTAAAGACATGAAAAGGGCATTCAAATGTTAAAATGTTTGATTTTTGAACAACACCAGTGACGTGTGTGTACATAGTTAAAGTCCCTATTTGCTATATGTACAGTTGAAGTCAGAATTATCAGCCCTTTTTTTTTAATTATTTATTTTCATTATTTTCCTAATGATGTTTAACAGAGCAAGGAAATGCTCACAGTATCTGATAATATGTTTTTTTCAGGAAAAAAGTCTTGTTTTATTTTGACTAGAATAAAAATAGTTTTAATTTTTTTAAATATTGATTTTAAGGTTAAAATTACTAGCCTCTTTAAGCTATATAATGTTTAGATAGTCTATAGAACAAACCATTGCTATATAATGACTTGCCTGATTACCCTAATCAGCCTAGTTAACCTAATTAACCTAGTTAAGCCTTTAAATGTCACTTTAAGTTGTATAGAAGTGTCTTGAAGTATATCTCGTCAAATATCATTTACTGTCATTATGACAAAGAGAAAATAAATCAGTTATTAGAGATGAGTAATTAAAACTATTATGTTTAGAAATGTGTAGAAGAAATTCTCTCCGTTAAACTGAAATTGGGGAAAAAAATAAACAGGGGGCAAATAATTCAGACTTCAACTGTATATAATATAATATATATTTTTTTCCCCCAATTTCTGTTTAACAAAGAGAAGATTTGTTCAACATTTCTGAACATACTAGTTTTAATAACTAATTTGTAAAAACTAATAACTGATTTCTTTTATCTTTTCCATGATGACAGTAGATAATAATTGCCTATATTTTCTTAAAATACTAGTGTTTAGCTTAAGGTGACATATAAACGCCTAACTAGGTTAATTAGGTAAATTAAAGTCATTGTATAACGATGGTTTGTTCTGTAAACAATCAAAAATATGTATTGCTTTAGGGGACTAATAATATTGACCTTAATATGTTTTAAAAAAAAATAAAAACTACTTTTATTCTAGCTAAAAATCTGAAAAAAATTCTCCAGAAGAAATAATATTATCAGAAATTCTGTGAAATATTCTTTGCTCTGTTAAACATAAATATGTAAATATTGAAAAAAGAAAAAAAAATCAAGGAGGCTAATAATTTTGACCACGCACGCACGCACGCACGCACACACACACACACACACACACACACACACACACACACACACCACATATAGTGTTCAGCATAAATGAACAGCCCCTTTAAAAAATGTATATTTCTATAAATTCCTCAGTGAATATAGACAAATATATATTGGTGCATTTAAACAAAATAGTTTTATTAAACAGAGTAATATTTTTTTCCTGTTTATTATTAAAGTTGTATTTATTTTTTTTTCATCAAAATATTCAAAATATTCACTGCCGTGTACTAAGTTTATTAGCTCCAATTTTGGCTTTGACTAATCTAATGTTTATGCACAAATATATAATTGTAAAGCATTCTATTCAAAATATTAATCTGAAGGACAGATTTTTTAGAGGTCATGTTTAAAAAGGCTATTCTGCTCACAAAGGCTGCATTTATTTAATCAAAAATAAAGTAAAAATGTTGAATTTTAAAGTGTTACTACTAGGGATGTAACAGTATCAGAATTTCACTGTACGATAATACCTCGGTATGAATGGCATACTTATTGAATAATTTACAGGCAAAACAAAACTAATGAAAAGACTCGAAAAAAGTGCCAAAAGTGTTTATTTACCTTAGCACTGAACATATCAATGACATACCAATTAGCCATCTATCTGTAAGTTTCGAAACAGGAAATTCAATTTTTAAATTTTAATAACAAAAAACTATTAAACTATATATATATAAAAAAAGTTTCAATTTAGTATTGTTGAAAACTCATCACATTCAACATTTAATCACTCACATAGATAGAGATGGGTTTTTTAAAGAAATGATCATATAACCATAATCTGGTAAAAGCTGGGATCTCTGGGCATGTCTGATTCCAAACTTTTCACTTGTAGTGTATACACACAAACACACATGTGACAAGTTGGACATAACAATATTCTATTCCATGAAGTCCTCATGCTAAATTAAACAAAAAATATGTAAGTGCAAACATATTACCTTTGAAGGAATTCCAGTGTGCATGCTCTCCCTCACAGATTACTTTGCCTTCCATGCTGATCATCCATTGTTTTATCCACTGGCCCAAAGTATCATCTGAACCTTTAATAAATTGGTTGATTAAAGTATTATTTAGAAATTATTCTGGAGATTAATTCTGTGATTTATCATTTGTTTTGAAAGGCTTGGTGTAGAAAGGGCCATGATAAAATTATGCAAGACGTGATAAAGCCATACAATATAATTTTTCAAAGTTAAAATAAATATTTAAATAATTATAATAAGCAACTACATCAAACCAGGTAATCTGAGATTCAAAGATAATGAAAAGTGACAGAATGTCTTAAGCATGTGTTAAAACATTGACAATAGTATGTCAATAGTAATACTAAAGGATAACTAGGCTTCTAAAAGGCAAGTTTATTTCTTTGGGTATCAGATCAAAACAAATACATACATTTCTAACTAAATGAGACTTTGCTTTAATGAATTAAAAATTAATGAATCTATTTCGTCAAATACAAACCAGCAAAGTCTATAGCGGGACACAAATTAGATTTTTTACCTATCTTAATCAAAAAATACTTACCAGGAAGAATCAAATGAGGAGTCACAGGCAGGTTACCCATCTTTTCAAGATTAGCAGTGGTGGCAGACATCTATTGGTCAAAAATGAATTGTAAAGAATTTTCATTATAATAGCAGTTACTCCTTACTCACATTATCAAAAAGATTAAAAGCTCTGCCACTTTAGGTAACATTACCAAGCATAAAATCTGATCGTAACTCTAGTCAATTTCTATATAAACCAACTGCAATAACGTAAAAATAACAAAGGTCTCACTCAATCTTAAAATGTTATTTTTAGAAGCACCGGAGTTGCAAATGAAAAGGTGTATCTGTAATAAAATGGACCAAATTTGCAAGTTACACATGTAACCACATGGAAAAAAAAAAAGATTCTGTACAATCTTCACTCAAAGTTCATGTAAAATCTAGGTTTAACATTCTTACCTGTGTGTGATGTGAAAATGAGTCCTCCAGCTATCGTTAGCTTGCTAAATTAGGCTAAAGTTACCCCCTTTCTCTTCTCAAGACATTCACACGGTCGGATCCTGCAATTAAATAAACAGGTGCTTTGGTTATGTGTTGATTGGATGTTTATGGCATGATATTTAAATTTAATAAGTAATTTAAAGATAGTACGTTTACAGATATAGCTTCTTACCTCGTCGAAAATATCCAAATTATCCAATTATCCTTTCTTGTAAGTACCTTGGAGTTTCAAACAGAGGCACGCAGTTCAAATCTGTCATAAAATGCAGGGCAATGTACCAGTTCATGTAACCACAAATTATAACTATCAACATTTGCACTGTTCCTAAAAGTTCAGGTAAAATATCCATCCAGGCTCCAGGAGATGTGAGGACTAACGTTACCGAGTCCTTATGCTAATCTTGCTTTTCAAATTCACACAGTCAAATCATTGTTGCAGTTGTGTGTTTATTGGATGTTTACATGTGATTTTAAAAAATAACAGGTACTTTACAGATAGTTAGTCACATTTGGAGCTGCAAACTTACCTCATGTAGATAATCCAAAATGGCGTCTTGTGTACACAGAAAAAAATATGGTATAAAACCGTTAAATTACAGTGCCCTTACTGTTGTTGCTCAACCACTCAAACTGAAGTGAGCAAGTCTTCCCATGATGCATTGTAAAAAATGGCAACTTGCTGTTTTTACATTAAAACAGTATTTTGCTGTTTATTTTCATCGTAAATTTACAGGAATTTTTTACAGTGTACAAATACAATAGCTAGCACAAAACATTTCATTTAAGTGGACTGAAGATAAAACAAATAAACTGGCCAAAGAAATTACAAGAATCGTGTGGTTTTAGCTAATTTTTAAACAGGTAGTTTGAACAAGCACCAGTAATCATTTTTTGAGTATAAATAATAATGACCACCCCAGCTGTAATACTAAAGCACATTAACACTTGCACTCGTGAAAGCTCTTTAACTCTCCTAATAAACTAAAAGATGCAAAATGAAATGTATGATGTGAAATGAAAGACACTATATTGCTTGTAAGCTTGCTTATAATTGACTATAATACCCATGTATATTTAAAAAGCAATAATTATATGGTGCAACCAGATAATTCTGTTTGTGAATGTTTGTTGAAATGTTTTTTTTTTTTTTCATTGTTGGCAAAAAATGCTTTTGAAAAATGCATGTTCATATCCTTTTAAATGCGTTAAAAAGCTGTCCTTCCACCTCATTAAAACAGATGTGCTCAGCTGTAAATTTGACACAGCCCAGAGCAGTGGTGTTGTAGCGTTGCCAGCAGCACTAAGTGACAACAGAGTAAATATAAAAGTTAAATAAACAGTGCTTTGTGGTTTTTTGGGGAGTCTAACAGTAAACAAATGTTAAAAATGTAACAATCAAATGTTAAATAACAATGGTGATCATTGTATATATAATTTTATACAACAAAATAAAATCTTTTTCTTTTAATTTTTAATAAGAAAAATTTAATCCTGCAATGTGACTATTGAAGATACTCACATTGTGATATTGAAGCTCAATTACATTGTTCAGCCCTATCATCACACAACAATAATTAGCAATCAGACGCAGAAATAATGGGATTTGGACTGATAGTGTGAACTAAACTTTACCTGCTACATTTGTGTCAGTGTTCTTTAGGGTCTTCAGTTGTGACACCTGAGAATGAAGGAGCTTTAGTTTTTTTCCAGTAAATTATGATTGAGGCTATTAAAACAATTGCTACAGGTAATAAAATCCAAAGCCAGTATAAGGAAGATGAAGTCTCCTCAGGTGTTGCTGTTGGATCAATTGTTGCGTTTCTTTTTTGATCTGTTGATTGGCAAAAAAAAAAAAAGGTTTGAAAGAACACATCACCTCAATGTGAAGAGGCAACAATTTCATCTGTAAGAAGCAGCATTCCATCTAGTCAAGTATTACATTTTTGTTATTTAATTCATCAATTATATTACATATTGCGTAATCAAGTAGTTTCACACACCTTTGATGATCAGTTGTACAGTTTTATATTCATCTGTGGGTGTGATGAAGCAGTTGAACTCTCCTGTATCCATGTGTTGTAGTTTGTTGAGTTTGATGGAGAAATTTCTTCTGGAATACTCCATAGGGAAAGAGTCAGTTCTGTCCTTGTATTGTTGGTCCTGTTCTGCAAGTGAATCTTTACCCTTGACAATTTCATACACAATCTTGCTGTTATTGTGTCTCCAAAACACAATACAATCTTGAAATTTAACATCAGGTGCAGCTGAAGAGCACGGCAGGACAACAGAACCACCGATAACACCCTCTACTGTGTCCAAAGGAGACACTGAAATGACAAACACATTAAACACAGTTCATGGCAATAATTTATATTTATAGTATGTAGTTCATATGCTCACCTGTGTTTATGAACACTGCTAACATACAGATGAAGCACTGTGATCTGTAGAAAAAAAATTAAGCTTAATCAAATGAGCACAACACTGGCAAATGAATTATTTTAGATTGATTGCTCGCTCACTCAGCAATGAAAAAAAAATAATTAGGTTAAATTAATTAACCTCTTAATTAATTAGGCCCAAGGTGTTTTTTAAATGCATTTTTTTATTTCTCTTTGCTATTAGGGCTTATTGGAATGTAATTAGAATAAAAACCTAAGTATCATCTTTTGATATGATGTACTTTTAGAAAAAGAATTCCATATATGAGGACTTGCGGTCCGAATTTACATAAAACACTTTTTTCTTACAGTTTTTTAATGCATATTTAACTTAGTCAAAAAAATTCTATTAGAGAGCAAAAACTTTTTTGCTAATTTTGGAGTTAAAAATAATTTTTGGGACATTTCATATGCTGCACAAAAGTTGCAGGACTGCACTGTATGTCTATAACAAAATATAAAACATCCGAAGTATTTAAAATGGCCACTTAAGAGATAAAATGTGCAGTGAGGTGAGGTTAAAAAATCAGTTTCTCTGTGATTAAGTAAAACATTGTTTTTATTTATTTTGGTGATGTGATGTTTTATTTTTTTAGTTTATTATTTTTTTTCAGACAGTTCATTTTAATGATTAAAAATAAAGGCTATAATATAATTATGTCATTCTGGATGATATAATGACTATTGTCCCAGGCCATACAGAGTATCCCGGGACTCAGCATATTAAAAAAAAAAGAACACAATCATGATTACAGTAAGTTAATACATCACCATGATCCAACACGTTTCATACAATTATGTTTTGCAACTAAGCGGTTACAAATAAAAAGAATCCATGTAAATATAATGATCAACTAAACTAATTAGCATTTTCCAACAGCTAAAACACAGCTTTCAAATGAATAAGAAGTGTTGGTATTTTTAATAATTTTAATAAGGTTTCATATTTTTTTAATGTATTGTAAACCTGTTTGTTTAGTTAGGAGTGCAGTGCACTATTCTGTTAATAGGCTATGCTATTAAATGTTTCTGTCGCATAATTTCTGATGTAGACATTCAAATTTGTGTTGCACCTGGTTAGGACTCTGTGTGAGGGCCACAAATAGGGATGCAACGATTATAGATTTTGGTTGTACGATTATAGTCTGAAAAATAATCATGGTTATTACGATTATTATGCATTGATTATTTTCAAACCCCACTTGTTTAGCAAATAAGATGAAAACTCATATTTTAAAGTGTTATTTATTGCTTAGTTTATTATTAAGTGTTAATATAATCTATACACCCACTAATGATGAATGAGCACCACTGCAACTGGTATATTAACGGATTTATTGTATTTTGAAAACAACAACAATTAGGACTAACAAAAACCAGAAACAACTATCAAACTAATACTGTGATGACTTACTAATATTTGTGCAATGATTCCAAAACGAATGTCTAATAATTATAAATTATTAATGATGATGTATAATACTAACAACAATACTAACAATCAATTACATTTCTCATTATTCTGCTGTCTTGAATGTGCTTGAATGAGAGTTATCTGCTATAAAAAGTCCTACTGTTTTGAAAAAGTTTATGAAAAATTTATTTGTGGTTTGCATCAAACAAAAATGAAGCAGTAAGAAATGTTTATTTTGCACTCTTGTTTTATTGTTTTATATGCTGGTCAATTTATTAAACAGAAAAAATTAAAAAAAGAAAGAAAGAAAAGTCTCACTTCTGCACATTTTTAAAAGTTTTGGTTTGGGTTTATGTCTTTTTAAAAATGCTCAGTCTCGTTATGAGCTGATTTTCATTTCTCTGTTTTTGTGGAAAACAGCAGGCGAGTCAGCAGACCCATATAAGCGGGGCAGAGCAGGATTTTCGTGATGATCGCGAATTATTGTCCAGCCCTAGGTCAGCATATGAGTCGGCTAGGCAAACAAATCTTAAATTTTGAATAAATTACTTTTTAAAAGGTTGCCTATTATGTGTTGAATATATCCTTGTAATTAGGGATGCACCGATCCCAATACTTGGATCGGATATCGGTTTGATACAGCATGTTTTTGCTGTATCGGGTATCGGCCAGCTGGTACCGATCGAAATTAAATTTTTATGCATGTGCTATATTCTGTGTTTATAAGCAAACTAAGCCATGAAGGTAGCCTTTTATAAGGCACTAGAACGTTGTCATGTAGGCCTACTATATTCCAAATGTTCTGAAGTCGTTCTATAGTTTAATGTGAATTAAACGGATGTGAATTAATGTGAATTAAACAGATGAATACTGAAGTGCTCAAATTCATGTTCAGTTAAGCTTTTCCAGCCGCTGCACCTGTCAATCATTCTCTATTCATTCACAATTCAAACTGCTTGTCCCATTTATGACAACAGGAAAAACTCTCCAAGACTATTTGTTCCTGTTAGTTTAAAGGGAACATAGTTTATCCCTTTTTTATGATTTAATATTAATATTATGGTTCTTCTGAGTGTGCCAGTTTAGGTTCAGTTCAACACACAGTTCAGATGTTTTTTTTTTCATTATAATGTGTTAAAAAGTGTCATGTTGGGGGCATTTACACAGTTTGCTGTTTTGGGAGCGTGTTGCTTCACATGAAAATTCATTCACTGCAAAAAATGCTTTTCTTACTTAGATTTAAGAAGCATTTTTTAGACAAGCAAAACATATTGTCTTGTTTTAAGAAATAATATGCCAAAATGAAGCGAGTTTTTCTTTAAAACAAGCAAAATAATCTGCCAATGGGGTAAGCAAAATAATCTTGTTTTTCGATTTGTGATAAGATTATTTGGTAACACTTTATAATAACTACTAGGGGTGTAACGATTTATCGTTGTACGATTTATTGCGATGCAAAAATGTCTCGATATGCATCGTGGCGTTATGACGATTTGATTACGATATGACGTCCGTTTTCTCTTATTAGTTGAGCTGTTTGCACGTGAGCTACGTTCCACCTGCTGTCGCAAGTGAGTTCAGATTGCAGCAGCAGTAATGTTAGCAGACCAAGATGAGTGGAGCTGAAATAGAGGATGGCCCATCCTCTCAAAATCAGACGTCTGGCAACATTTCGGGTGTACAGTCATTGCTTTAGACTCGTCCGCTTTTTGACACGCATACTGGGTCACACATCCTAAGTTTTAAAGTCTTCACAGTGATTTACATACTTTGCACAGCGACAGGCATACCTCCTAATGGTGTTGAAAGAGTCACATACTGTATTTATAAGGTACAATTCACCCTAATATATCATTCTGTCTTCATATAATGATGTGTTGGCGGCCGCA